CATCTAGATCACCTCATGGCAGGACCGATCACCTTGAACAGGTGCCTGTCTAACCTGCTCTTAAATATCTCCAGAGATGGAGATTCCACAACCTCCCTAAGCAATTTATTCCAGTGTTTAATTATCCTGACAGTTGGGAAGTTTTTCCAAATGTCCAACCTAAACCTCCCTTGCTGCAGTTTAAGCCCATTGCTTCTTGCTCTATCCTCAGAGGACAAGGAGAACAATTTTTCTCTCTCCTCCCTGTAACACCCATGTCAGGTGAAGAGGAAGAAGGGTTTATTCTAAAGGATTGATCACAAAAGGCCCCTTTCTCTGAAACAGAGAGAAAGGAAATACTGTTGGCAGCATCAAGCTAAATATTACAGGGTAAAATGGATTTTCTCATTGACTGAGGACTAGCTTTCAGTAAGAGATTTAGGCACCTACAGGTGCAAATTGGTCCTTATCGTGTTTTACAAAATCACCTACGCAAGTTCAGCACCTGCCTCCCATTGGGATTCATGAGAGTTTGCTCATAACAACTTTAGCCGCTTGTGTACATCTCACTGGACACCCATCTGTACCTTTAGGTACTTTAATGCTTTTGTAAATCTGGCTCTAGGTCGCTAGTGCTTTTGAAAATTTTACCCAGAGTGTGTTTTGCAATCCCCCAATGGAATGGGCAATTAAATTTGGACAGGGTCTGCAGACTCCTCAGAATCTTTCCTCTTTTGTTCCCTGATGGCAGGTGTGAAGTGACTGTAAATAGAAGACAGTAATTTTACTCCTGGTTATACAGTCAGGACTTTTGTAATTGTGTTGTTGGCAGTGGAGAAAGAGGTGGGGGATGGAATCTTGATACTTACTCTGTTTTAAGGTCATAGGAGAACTTATCCAAAAGTATATTTTCAGTCATCAGACCTGTGTGGTGATAAGAAGAGGTGCTAGTGTTGTGGCTGAAAGGATATGACAGTTGTTTTGCTTTAATGTTACACTTTTTAGATACTAAATCTGTCTTCGAGAACTAGAACTTGCTGAGGAGTTCTGCCGGACTCATCCTCTTTTGAGGACGACTTTGTACTCCTTTACAACTTGTTGGCTTATCTGTTAAAGCAAAACTGTGCACAAAATGTGCAGGCATAATCCTGAGGTTCCCACATGCATTGCCATGACCGCCAGAATCAAGGAATGTGCGAGGTAGGCATGCCATTTCACAAAGCATGCATGGGTTTGCATGCTTAATAGCACACCATGCTGTGCATTTTCACACACAACTTGGTTAAAGGTCTACTCGATATTTCACTGTTTTTGAGCTATCTTATTTCCCTTAAAGAGAGTACAGACTTCCTTAGAAATGCTTCTTCCTCCCTGTCTTATCCAATATCTTCTGCAACTCTCACCCTTATTAAACTAGGGACATTTGCTCTGAAACAGACTCTCTGTGCTTTACAAGTCTCATCTGCACCTGCTGCTCGCTCCCCACCTGAAGCCACAATCATGCCTTTGTGACCTCACCATCGTTGCCACAGCAACCACTTGCTTTTCTTCCCCCAGTCTTTTCCGGAAAGGCACCCCGCTCTGCAACATCCCCTCCGGGGGCTTTAATGCACATGAAAGCTGTGAGCTGCTGTGATCTCACCAGTCCTGGATCCATCCCCACACAACATACTGATTCCTACTGCCTTGAAATGGAACACGCATCATTAAGCAGCAGATACTGTAGCACAAAGTGAATCCTCCTTAACAACCCCCCTAATTGAGTAAACATGCTCCAGTCATTTCCCCCTCCAAGTTGTCAATGGAAATGCAAGTTTAGATCCTGGCCCACACTTTACAAAGGAGGCTACCGGAATTGAAAACTGTAATAAATTACATACACACACACACACACAAAATATATAAAGTATATTCAGACATGTAAGTCATTGTCCTTTGCGAGTTCATGTATTAAATAGGATGAAATTGAGAGGTGTTTGAGTGAGGAATATAAACAAAAGCCCTGGTTATGCTAGATACCAGGTACCATCCTTACCTACTGATGCAAATGAAAGCTAAGAGTGCTCTGATCCTTCCCTGGTAATAGACAATGTATCTCATGGCCAGCTGTTTACCGATAATAAATGTATGTACATTGCTTTGATTAACATTTCAGTGGTCTAGGATAAGATCATCAACGTGTCCTGGTATTTACATCTCAGATCTTGCAGCATCATGCTCATTGATGTAGGAAGGAGGGAGAAGGAAATCTACTTTCAAGGGGAGAGGAAGAATCATGGAGGACTGGCAGTTTCTTAGCAGAGGAACTGGGACTAGAATCTACAGGGTCTCTCTCGGGCATTCTTAAAACTTAAATACCCACCCGGGAAGTGAAAAAGTAGACTGACAGAACCAGACGAGTACTCAGGCATCAGCTTCTTCAAGATAGGCCCAACAAACAAAATAACAGAACACTGCTGGTAAGGCATTGCGGACAAAAGGAGTCCCTATCCTACAGCAAATACAGCTCGTATGACTACTACAGTCATCAGAACTAGTTTCTTTGCATGTTGGCCAAGAGTCTCCATCCTCTTTTCAGACCTATCACAAGGACTTTAACTGCTGGTTAACATTCTTGGTCCTGCCATGAGGGCAGGGGACTGGACTTGATGATCTCTCGAGGTCCCTTCCAGTTTTAGTGTTCTAGGATTTCCCAGAGAGACAAGCAAAACAGACCTGAGTTTAACCTTTCCCATGAAGGCTAAATTCTCTACAAGTCTGATTTCCTCAGACCACTTTGATTTATGCTGCTGGCCCTCTCTGCAACTTATGGGGTGAATTCTGCTCTAGTTTACATCCCCTCGGGCTGCACATTTGTTGGTTAAACATTTCAACATAATGCCCTAGAGATGCATGGATTAAAAACAGAAGCTAATCAGGATTATGCGAGATGGATCAGTGAAACGGAAAGGGAAATAACAGCCCATGCGGTGAAAAGTAAATTAGATTATAAAGACAATTGTAATTGAAACCCAAGATAGTATCATAGTATGTATATTGTTTTCCTTGATGCGTGTGATTCTGTAACCTCCATTTAAGCTTCTGGTCTCTTTGGATACTGGTACCACCAATAACAGCTTGTAAAACCCAGTTGGTTACATTTTCACAGACATTGCGACTTCTCTAGGAAGGGTTAATTTGTTTCCTCAAAGGGAAAAAATAAAGACAACACCACAGAGAGAGAGTGACTAAACTCACAAGAATTCAAGCCCCTGGAAATAGCTCATGAAAAGTCTCTGAAGATTTCCAATCTGATCCAGTTTATCTCTGGTGTTAATGAACTTGCTAATGCTGTGCAAACATAATTTATCTATTTGAGCAAGGCTGCATTTTGGGGAGCTGGGAAGGAACTTGCCAACAAGCATATGGTTGTACTAGAAGACTTACCCGGCATTGCCCAGGACTGGCCCAGGGGAGATGGGGGGGCAGTGCAGGTATCCTGCAGGAGCTCCCCAATCTCAGCCCGGACGGGGAGATAGGAGAAAAGGGAGCCGTGCAGGCTGACTGGCTGCAGCCAGCTAGGCAGCTCGACCATGCCGGCAGGAGGTGGGGGGCACCAGCGGGTCCTGGGAGGACTGGACTTGCCTGCTTACCCCCCACAGTGCCTCCAGGGGGAGTCACAGCGGTGGAGCTGGCAGGGCTTCCCCTTCCCTGGTCCAGCGCTAGGGTTGGGGTGCGGGAGGGGTTTGGGCAGGACAGCCACTTACCTGGTCTGGTGGCAAGCATCACGGTGAGCTCTGTCCCAAACTGGCCACTCCTTCGGTGGTGCAACTGCCCCAGTGGTCACTCTGCAGGATAGCTGTCCCCTGCACTTGTTGCCCCCCAGTGGTGACTGTGAGTATCATGCCCCTCTTCTCTCTGCCCCCTCGCTTTTTATGTTATGGAAAACAATCGAATTCCAGGCACATCCTATTTTCCTGGAACAACCAACCCCTGACCTGGCTTTAAGTTAGGAGACGAGAAGGCTGCCTACAAAATTTGCTGGTGCTAGCTCTTACTGTTTAGGAGGAGTTCTTGAACAAATAGACTCACAGACAGATGCACAAATTTCTAAACTGTCTATATAGATACAACTAGAAAGTTCAAAGGCTGTGGTTTCAGGTCACTGGATTACAGCTAGATCAGGCAATTTCCATGTAGACAATCATACAGCTGTATTCAGAGATTAGTTACTGACCACCCAATTGTCTAATTTTAAGAATCACACTTGGAGAAAACTCATTAATAGTTTGGTTTGTCTACCTCAAGCTCTCAGATTTGGACACTGTCGTTTATCTCAGCCTATGGATTTCCCTGTAGCAAGCATCTAAATCAATGCAGAACTGGCTTTGAACATGATGGAGTGTCAGGGTTTACCTTGCACTTGGAGCTGGATTATTTTTTCATTTCTCAAGATGAAGTGGCTAGGGCTGAGAAGTCTGAAACCATAGGCTGGCATTAAATTACTTCATTCCTTCTTAGTTTTGCATTGGCCCATGACACTTGTCAGGTTTATTATTTCTCCCCCACCTCTTTTTGATTTGGCCAGTGACACGTTAGCTACTGTTCTGGCAAAATCAATCAATCACAGGTTTTAAGAGTGATCGGTATTATAAAGAGCACTTTGTGCCCAATACATCCCCCCTCAATACTCATGCTTCTAATAATGTTCCTAGCTTGCCGCCTGTGCTCCCTGTAAGCTGGGCACTTGTGCAGCTGCCCAGGAGAAATTCAAATGCTGCCCAGGTGATTCACAGAGCACTCAGAGCTAGGTTTTGTGTTTCAACTGGTGGTGCACATTCACACATGCCACGGTGCACATAAAATGTATTCCGCACAGGGATGGAAAAAATCCACATGTTGGATTGAAAAGATGAGAGGGAATATTGCTTGCCTATCTCTTTGAAGGTAACTGGCTGCTGCTTTGGGTTTGGTAGCATACCTCAGGCTCTGCTAATGTGCAGGCAGCTGTTGGAAAGGAAGGAGC